GCTCAGTGCTAGCAAAGAGACCCCAGTAATCTCCTTCTGACAAGTTGTTTGACCACCTTACCACCTGTGGGCTGAGAGCTCCAGAAGCAGTCACTGTCACTGCTGATTCCATGGTTCCCAAGGCCTGCTCATGGTTTGCTGGGGCTGGGTCTCTGTTAGCTCAGTCTGCACTGGACTATGCTTCACTCACTTATGTGTTCTGCTCCTCCAGGAATTGTTCTATGGCGTTATGTGAAGGTGTTCAGGCAGGTTTGGGGAGAGCTCAGGTGAGTCCCAGCCTTTTCTCAGCCATCTTGGCTCCACGCCCTTATCGCTTTCTGTAGAAGGGACAGCATCCTAGGTCAGGCCCTCATTGCCTCTCACCCGGACATCTGCAATACGCTTCTCATTCAGCTCCCTACCTCTAGTCTCTCCCTTCTGCTATCAGCTACCAATATGATGGTCCTCAAGAACAGCTTACTTCCTGTGTGACCTTTATGCAGGTCAATGAGGTTCTTGGATCACACTTCTGGGGAAGTGAAATGATCCCTTCCAGCTCTCCTATCATTAATGGAACTTAAAGTTAAGTGCCTCTGCTCAACTCAGCCATAGTTATCAGTAGATCAAGTAAATCTATAGCTGTAGGAAGGACATGAAGAAAGTCTGCTTTTCCTTGACTCTCCCACCTCTTACCCTCATAAAAACCTCTTTCATCAGTTTTATTCTGCAGAGAGTCCAGTATTCCACTGATTAACATCCCTACCCTTGTGCTAAGATTCTGAGTCTCCAGCATCTCCCACTCATGTGGAGCTGGCTAAGAAAGGCAACACGCTCCCCAGCATTACAGAAAGCCAGGAGGGAAAAGAAAATGACAGAAGAAGACATCTGACCATGTCACTGTCCTGTTCTACAAGCTCCAGAGTTCTTTTACCTCTAGGGTCAAATACAAATGCTTTTGTTTGGCCTTAAGAGACTTTCACAACTGGGCTCAGACCTTCATTTCCAGGCTTTTATACAAAGCTTGCCTTCATGTACAATATAGCCCAGCCTGGATGGAACGGGGGAAAAAAAAGCAAAAACAAAAAACCAACCTTATGAGTTTTTTAATTTGCATTTGTCTTACTAGTGATCTGGAGCATTAATTCATATGGTTGTTAATGCTTTGCAATCTTTTTGAGAACTTTGTTCATATCTACTACAGTCATTATTTCTTTTAGCACAACAATATTTAGCACAACAACAATGTTGTTTAGCACAACAATATTACCACACGTAATTTGTTTGGCCTTTTCACGACTGATGATGTATTGTTGTTGTTGTTATTGTTGTTATTGATTGGCTAGCATAGTGCCTGGCACATAGTAGGTGCTTAATAAGTTTATATTCACTGACAGATGGACTTCTACTTTGTTTACAATTCTTTCATACCACAGAACGTGTTGCTATAAACTTTTTATGGGTCTATGAAGATATGCTTATTATCAATAACATTCTTGGGATATAGTAATTCACAGCTCTACTAACGATGCATCAGTATGCCTGTCTTCCCAACACCCCTCTGACAGTAACTATTCTTATCTCTCGTTATTCTTGCCAGTTTGCTAAGGCATGAAGCAAAAGCTCACTTTTTACTTGCATTTATCTTACTAGTGATTTGGAGTACTCATTTCTTTGGTTATTAATGTTATACGATCCTTATTTTGAGAAATCTGTTGATGACTGTCGACCACTTATCAATCAGTAAAAAGGTTCTGTTGACCATACTCTTTCACCCTGATCATTTTCCACTTTACAGCAGTACTCAATCCCCCTACCCCACCTCTCTGCCAACCCCCTTCCATATCTTGCTCTATGAACTATTTTGAATTTATGGTGGAATAATACATAGGGTGATGATCTAAGCACAATTTGGAATTATGCAAATAAATTTATTAAAGTACACGTTTTGACCAAGAGTTTTCACTGTGAGGTTTATACCCTGAATATGTTATTGATGGTAAAATGTAACTTTATAGCAACACTTTTTGTGGCAGCACCGAATTGCAAATAAAGTAGATGTCCATCAGTCCAATAATAATCAGTCAATAAATATTCATTAAGAACCTACTATGTAGACCTATAGGGATCCAATATGGTGGAATAAGGCAAGGACTCCCCTGAACTCTTTAAAATATGACTCTAAACAAATTCTGGAGTGCAGAACCCACAAAAAGATGGAGTGAAACAAATTTCTAGTCCAAGACAACTTGGAAGGTCAGCAGGAAGGGCCTATTATAGACCCTGAAGGAAACAGCTGAGCAATGGCTTGTATAAGCACAGGCAGTGGGCTGAGGTGTGAGGACTGTGAGTGTGAAGTCTAACTCTTTAAGCTTTACAATGTGACTTCCATCATGTCTCCAACCTTCTTACCCTGTGGTATCAGCTTTAGTTATTCTATATCTGACTCATAAGTCCTCAGTTTCCAACCACACTTTTGCATTTTAATTTGAGCTGATGAGTATGGGATACAGGATTCCCGGGGCTAAAAGGGAATTAAAGACTTTGAGCATACAAATATATTTGAACTTAAAAGGTAAGATCCTATAAAAGAACTTTGTGAAATGACCAGGTACACTTGTTTTTTTTTTCTTTTGAAACAAGTAAAAATTATGACCTTTCCCCTCTCAGACTTAATTTCCATTTGAATTTATATTCACCTACATATTTTGGTTATAGAATGACAAGAATACCAAATGCACAGTTTTTACTTTGAAATAGGAGTACTTCAAAAGCAAGTTCTTATGAAGAATTACTGACTTAGAGATACTTTGGGGTGTCGTTGTGAGGGTTTTGTGTTGTTCAGTCACTCTTCAGTCATTTCTGACTCTGTGACCCCATTTGGGGTTTTCTTGATAGAGATACTGGAATGCTTCCCATTTCCTTTTCCAGCTTATTTTACAGATTAGAAATTGAGGCAAACAAGGTTAAACAACTTGCCCAGGGTCACACAGCTAGTAAGTGTCTGTGGTCAGATTTGAACTTAGGGAGATGAGTCTTCCTGACTCCAAGCCCGGCACTCTATCCACTGTGCCAACTAGCTGACCTGTACTTGTGTGTTACAAGATAACAAAGGTATACTCAGGGAAAACCACAACTCCCTTCTCTCCATTCTGATACAGCCTCCTTTCCTTATTAATTCTCTCCTACCTGGTTTAAGAATCATCTACAGGGTGTGCTCTATACTATTTTCAAAAATTAAGAAAATTCCCACCAATTGGCTCAATCCCTACTCTGGAATAAGACTTCTACTATGGACAAGATTCTTTTTTCTCAAACAACAAACCTCGTACAATTAGACACCTCACTGCTAGTGACAAAGAAATTTACTAACAGGTCAAGAAGAAAGAAAAGAGAATGAACAATTAAGCAAAGTGCAGAATGCTACAATTGAACCAGAAGTCGGACACTTCTGGACTCTGGGAAACCAGGGGAGAAAGGAGCTGCTAGGTGGATTTGCTCTCCCTGTCACCCCCTTCTGGTTCAGACTGTGTCACTACAATCAACTCCTCTCACTCACTTGCCTTCTCCTTGTTCATCTGCTTCTATCTTGCCTCTCTGCCTCCTCGCATGGTTCCTTAAAATTTAGGAGCAATTGCCTTCCTCAAGGTGACTGAAACCCCTAAACAAACTGAGCTCCCCTCAGATTGTCGGTTAGTAATTTAGTTCTCTTCAAATTGCTGGTTAAAAGGCTTGTTCTCCTCAGTCAGTAAACTCGCTCTATGAGCCTATTGAAGATCAAGCATCAATAGCTAAACTCTCAGTGATCCAGAACCTCAGGAAATTGAGCCAGCACTTACAGGAAAATAAGAGTCACCATAGACTCTTATCTGATTAAATAAGGATTCTCTCTTTGCTGGCATCAATCACTTCTCATGGATATCAATTTTAGGTGATAAAGATCATCTTGATCTTCACTGGGGATGAAAACCAGCAGGAAAAGGAATTGTATGTATCCAGATTCAATTGGTTTTGTATGACTATATATATTTGTGATGCCTTCATTTTCTTACCTTCTCAAGTGAGTGGAGGAGGGAAAGAGAGAAAATTTGGAACAAAAAATAAATAAATAAAATGAAAGTGAATTTTTTTAAACGTTTTCTTCTCAAACCTCAGGAAATCTATAGACACTATAACGGCATGCTATGTACAATGAGCCCTCGACGTGGTGTCTTGCATCCAAATTCTGGCTTTCACAGTCATTAACTACATAGATGCAAGTCACCTGAGTTTTTGATACTCAGTTACCTCATCTGTAAAATGAAAATGAAAATAAATAGCATTTACTCATCAGGTTCTTGGAATCAAAGCACTTTAAAACTCAACGGCACCATATGGAAGTTAACTTATTTACCTAAGTTTCTTCCTCGTTGAAAAGACAAATAAGACACAAAGCAGAAAACAGACTAAAGGCAGCAGGGATTTCTGTCCCCTCTATTCCGCAGGAGCCTAGAACCATGAAGCTCTATCTTCTAACTTTTCTTATGGCTCTTCTGGCTGTCCTGGCCGTAAGTACTAGGGAAAATGGAGAAGGGGCTGGTGTTGGGAACGATCGATCCCTCTTTCCAACAACGGTCCTTCAGCATCTGGAGACTTGGCTTTATATTCGCATTTCCATGTCTCTGCATTAGTATATTTTAATTTGTTGTTGGGTTTGTTTTGTTTTGTTTTTTTACTATCTGTATTGATCTCTGAAGAATCCAGAAAAATTCCTTGTGGCTATAGCCTCAGCTAAGTAACTCTTCATTTTGTACTCACAGCTTTTTCCTGCCCTTTAAGGGACAAGATCAACATTTCTCAAACATAAATGAAGATAATAAATGTTTGTCTAGGAATTTGGGCAAAATTCTATTCTTCCTTCAGTGAAAGAATAATTTATTCCATAACCCAGAGAGTTACCTCAATTAATTGCTTGGGTTTATTTGTTTCTTTGTTTCTTTTGATATGTCATATAACTGAGTCTATTGATGTTTTCTTTTCCAAAGGGAGCTGACCATTCTGGAGAGGTAAGACATTTTCCAAAAGAAAATGCAAAAAAAAAAAGTTAACATTCAGTAATATGCACCCTTTACAAATTGTTCTTTATTTTAACAGAGGCATCATCGTCATCATAAGGTAAAATTATATTTTATTGTGTTTGACATGTAATGTTAAATTTATAAATTTACAAATGTATTCCCTTATCTTTAATCTTGTCAACCTTCAGATATCTCACTGCTCATTTTTCCTGAGCTAATGATGATTGAAACAAAGCAGAAATAGATATTGGTTCCATTCATTTAAGTATCAGACTCCTAGGTGTTTACAAGTACTGAGCACACAATCTCCGTACACATATATCTTCCTCATTCATTGACTGGGATAGAATTGCTACATTACAATAATCATGTTAAATAAGGTAAAATTTTACTGCAAGAAATGATGTTCATATTCAGCCTCTTCTCTCTGCTTCCCTAAACTGGACATCACTTTGACAATGATTCTATAGGATTTCACTAACTCATTTAAAGCACAAGAGACATCAGAAGTGTTCTCTGGACATATGGATGTTTTAGGGTTCTCTGCTCATTTGTAGCATCTCAAGTGATTCACATTATATGCCCAGGGCTTTGCCAAAAAAAAAAGATATTGCAAAATATTCTTTGGCAAAAAGGAAGATATTGACAATTATTGGCTGAAATGACTCAATTTGGTTTGGTTTGGGTTTAGACACTGAGGAGTTGACCTATCTCCTCAAATTCCAACTATCTGGTCTAGTTACATCACTAGATTTACTACCTTCTGGCCCCCAAACAGATTTCTGGTCATATTTTTCTAGCTAAACAGAATTGTGCTTATTCGTGGGCTTGAGGGTGCCCATGTCATTAAGCAATGGTGGATTTTTTCCATATCTTCTATGAAACAGCTCAGTTCTCCCTTTCATTGACTCCTGGCTGTATTTGAGGAATTTGAGTTAAATGCATTTTCTCAAAGCTCTCATAGCTATTGGATTGCTACCTAATACTAGGGATAACTCACTGAAGCATGAACAGTTCTGTCCACAAAATAAGATGATTTTATACTGAAAACAACTGCTTTTATTTATTTATAATGTCATGTAGATGGGTTTCTCTGCCAATGTCCTTCAAACATGAGAATAAATTTCTTAGATGCTTTGCAACTGATTTTAAAGGAGAATTTCAGTTTATATTTCTCTGTCATCATTCCTTTCCAGTCATTCAGGGTAGAATCTGCTGCTTATTACCTCTGTAACACTGAACAGGTCTCTTCACTTTTCCTATTCTAAGTTTCAGTGATGATGGACCAGGTTTATAAAGTCCCATATCACTCAGTCTAGGAATCTCCTGCTATAAATTCATCTATAAACTTTGTTTCTACACTGTCCTTCAGAGACCACAATGTATCTTTCACTATATCTGAGATCTAGAAGTAAAAGGACCCTTGCAGGCCATCTCATCTAACCCCTTCATTTTACAACTGAGGATACTGAGGCCTATTGAGATTCAATGACTCACCCAAGTTTATACAGGCAGTGGGAATTAGAAGCAGGACCTTAAATTCTAGAGGTATTTAATTCTTTCCACTATGTCAGGTATAAGAACAGAGTAGTCAGCAGTTACAGAATAACTGTTGTCTTTTATTATCTTCTCCCTGTGGAATCAAGGAAAGTATATGGTTTTTTTTTCATCTTTCTCCCAGTGGAGTCAGGGTAAGTATATGGTTTGATTTTTTTTCATCTGTGAGAAAATATGGAGAAGAGAACAAAGTTATTTTTTTTATCAAGACTCATTATGAAAACGGTAACAATTATTTGGAAATGAGGCTCTTTTAGGTTAGGAAATGAATCATATTTGATAAACTGGTGAGTACTCTCAGTTTAGTTGGAGAGATTTCATGAAATTGTATTAATGAGTACAAACACATGCATGTCTCTGGTCTACTCTAGAGCTCAGGCTGATAGGATACAAGTGAGTCTGGTGATACAAATAACTCTTGTCATGGGTGAGCAGTTGTACTAATTCTATTAGATTGGTGTTATAGTTGTTGTTCAGTCATCTCAACTGTGCCCAACTCTTTATGACCTCATTTGGGGTTTTCTTGGCAACAGTACTGGAGTGGTTTGCCATTTCCTTCTCCAGCTCATTTTACAGATGAGTAAACTGAGGCAAACAAGGTGAAGTGACTTGCCCAGGGTCACACAGCTAATGTCTGCGGCCAGATTTGAACTCAGGAAAATGAGTCTTTCTAATTCTAAGCCCAGCACTTTATCTACTGAGCCACCTAACAATACCATCACATTTGTATATGCCTATTATTTCAATGTTATAATGGATACTGAGAATTTTACTATACTGTAAATGAACTGTAGTGCCCCAACCTTATGTCTGCTATTTTCTCATTTTTTTTAAAGCGCCATCGTAGAGGATTTATTTCAGAGCATGATTATCCTCAATAGTCTTCATATTATTGACATCCTCCAAATGCTCAAAATGCACCACATGGAGGATGTCAATAAACACAGGTAAAGATAAGATGTACTTACTGAAAGCATGGGGCATGGTGTGGGGGAAAGAATATTGGATTTTGTAGTTTAAACTCCTGGTTGAACTTCAGATGTGCCCCCTTAATAGCAGAATGATTTGGACCAGCCAGAATCTGAACGTCTTCTTTCTTGCAGAAGATTTTCTGAGTCCATTCTCCATTGAGTTACCAAAGGGATATTCCTTAAGCTCAGCTGTGACCATGTCGCTTGTTCAATCCTCTCCCCCATCCCAATAAATTCTAGTAGTTCCCTATCATGTCCATGAGCAAGTATAACATCTTCTATTTGGTTTTTAAAGCCCTTCAAAGTGAGCTCCTTCCTAACTTTCCAATTTTCTCATACTTTACTCCCCTCAACCTATGCTTTGATCCAGCCACACTGGCCTTCCTACTGTTTCTCAGCCACAGCATCATCTTTGCCCCTTTCTTTTATCTCTGACTCTTAGGATAGACTCAGGCACATAGCAAATGCTTAATAAATATTTGTTGACTTGACTCTCCTTTTGTCCCATGGGAGATTCAGAGATTGGATCCTGGCTAGAGCATGACTCACAGTAGGGCAGTCTACCATCTCCAGGATCCATTTACACACTGGCCTCATGTTTTTCAAAAAATCCAACTGAAGATGATTTGAAATTCTACAGGGAAAAAAGTGGTTCAATTTTTATTCATGAGAAAAGAGCAACATCTCAGCTTCTGGTGCTTAGGAACGAGAGACAGATCTAGCATGCAGCACTGTCCAATGTACCCTAATCTGAGATTCCATAAATAGTTGTTTTTTACTTGGCTCAGAGCCCATTCTGGTGGAGGGAGCTCTGGTGAGGAAGCCACCTGGTTCTAGCACAGCTCAGCTCATGCTGGGTCATGTGTTGATCAGTTTCCCCAACCACTTTTAGCAAAAGGAAACTGGAGGCACTTGGCCACTGAGAAACTCAGTCAGCTCCTGTCCAAGGAAAGGCCAGATGCCATGCATTGAGTGTTCACATCCCCAGCTGCAGCTTCCCAGTGCCTATAACAGGCTCAGTGAAGGGAGAATCCGACTTAACCTCAGGAGTACAAGGAAGAGCCACTTAGAGATGTCAGTTGCATTGGCACAGTAAGAAATTATTTCCTTCCTCTCAACAGGACCTTCTGTAATACCCTTTTACTTCTGTGGACCTATGAACTGATGTGGGCATTCCCCTCAAACATGCAGATTTCAGCCCATCTCTGTGCTCTTATTCTGTACAGTTCCTGACTGTGCCCTGCTACCTAGAATACATACCCAGCATTTTGGAGGATTTCCTTTAAGCCCTTTTTCATTTTCTGGGTACCAGTACAGCACCTTCTCTGCCCATTCTCATCACTCACCTTCACTACATGCCTGGACCACCTTGTTTTCTGACCATGGATGATGGCTGCCACAGGGCTCTCAAATTACCTGTGGGGAAACAGCAGGAAAACAGGAGAGTGAGAAAAGTGGATTGTGGGGGTGGGGAGGTGAGTTTGATTTGTGCATAAGTTGTCTTTACAAAATTGGCCAACATCAGCTCCCAAAGTCCACTGGGGAGCCCAAACTTTAATGGGACGGATGAGAAAATCATTAATAGAACAAGGATTATTCTAGTGCCCATCAACTTTACTAAGAATTAATACAGGAATATCTATTTATCAGATCTGGAGGAAATGGACAAAGCAAAATCAATCTTCTTAATATATGCTCAGCTACCATGCTGTGGACTTCTGGTAACTTTTCCTGGACTAGAGTCTGAGATCCTAATGACTTAAGGATGATTTGGGGACCAGGTAGAATAGATGTGTCTCTATCAAACATAATCTAAACTGACATAATCATTAGATGAGGATCTATTTCTGTAATACACAGAGATTTCTTCTGACTAGCTTGAACTACTAATAGCATCAGTGACAGGAACAGATTACTCCAAAAATAATTTGATGGAGTAAACCTAAAGCAATATTTTTTGTTTACTTCTAGGTTTGCCTGGAAGACTGACTCGATCTCCCTGTGTATTGAATCTACAAGTCTACAAATTCATCAATCTCTCCATTAGATGATAGCTCCAACTTTGTTAGATTAACATGAATCATTCCCCCAAAAGACTAATGCTGTCCTTTATACTCTCCTTAAAATAAATTCAGCTCACAGCATGTTGAATGTCTCTTGTCCTTATTTCTTTTTTTTGTTGTTGTTGCTAGGCAATGGGGTTAAGTGACTTGCCCAGGGTCACACAGCTACTAAGTGTTATGTGTCTGAGGCCAGATTCGAACTCAGGTCTTCCTGAATCCAGGGCCAGTGCTCTATCCACTGCACCACCTAGCTGCCCCTTCTTGTCCTTCATCCTTCAGTTCTGATTCATCAGATACATGAGAATAGAAGAAGATGTAAATAGGAGAAGATATGAAGCTTCTTGGTTTAAGAAGCAGAGACACCTTTTAGAACTGGGCTTTCAGGTGGAAAATGACATATCATACATAAGAATTTATATGTATTCAGACACACATTTGCAACATGGCACAGTGGGATAAAGTTGTCTTGAAGTTAGGGACACCCAGGTTCCAGTTCTAGCTTTGTGATCACATGCAAGACAGTTAACCTGTCAGTACTCCAAATAACTCTCCAGAATTTTAAGTAACAGAAAATGGCTATCTCCACAGTCAGACACAGAGATCAAATCACAAGTCTCAAAATAGAATATGTGTACATGTTGGTTCCACTGACAGAATGTAAGTTCTTTGAAGGCAGAGATTGTTTGGTTTTTCTTCACTTTTTTCCTCTGTCTTTATATCCCCAGAGATGAGCATAGTACCTGGCACATAGGAGGTGCCTAATAAATTCTAGCTCACTGGCCAACTCTATTCCCAGAGCCTAAAAGGTCTGGCCTGTTGTTGTTGCTTAATAAACGAAGACTGGTTGATTGAGTTGAAACTTTATTACACCGGGACCCTATGCATTCAAGATACTGTTTGAAAAAAAAAAAGAACGGATTCCATTTCTTGTGGATTGCCATTATAGCAAATCTGTCAATCATTTTTAAATGCTAATAGTTTTCATTGACAGTCTGTTCCTGGAATATTACCTAAATTGTAAATCTGAAGAATGTATAACTGGGCAGATTGGTCCGGTTTCAAGGAGCTGTGAGAAGCCAACAGCCCTCTCTTTCAAGTGGTTCCCCGGGCAGATGAACCATTGTGGCCAAGGAAAGAGTTGGCATTTCCACACAACATGGCATTTTACTGGAGAGCAAAAGGCCTCAATATCACCTTTGTACATAATGCCTTAAAATTGTTACATCTACCAGCTTCCTCAAATCAAATACTGATTACTCATATAGTGTAGGATTTGAGATAATAATAAGGTGATCAGAAGGAAGTGTTCTTAGGGCAATCTTTATAGTTCTTGGTTCTCACTGTCCCCAAATAACTCTACCATTGACCGTGTTCTTGCAGCAAGCTCAAGGAGTGACCAATAGTGAAGGAAGCAGACCATACATAGAGGCCTTGGCATTAACCTATGAATAGCATCTTCCTGACCTCAAATGGTCTTTCTATGTGTCAAATTCAATTTGCTTATCTGCATAAATTTCTCTTTTCTGCCACTTTATTTACCCCAGAAGTACTTGTATCTGTATCTCTGACCCCATTCTTCTGCCAAGCTCCTCATCTGTTTTCACTGCCTCTGGATTCTGGAACCAACATCCTTTCTCCACACATTACCCCACCACCACCACTGCCGCCACCACCACTGCGACCACCACCACCGATCAATTTCCAATATTTTTATCTGTCCTTTGTTATCTATGACTGTAGGAGATGGATGGTTAGACCTAGAGTCAGGAAAACCTGAGTTCAAATCCAGCCTCAGACTTTACTAGCTGTGTGACTCTCGGAAGTCACTTAATCTCTGTATGCTTCAATTTCTTCATCTATAAAATGAGAGTAATAATAGCAACTGTCTCCCAGGGTGGTTATGAAGATAAAATGAGATAGTGCTTGTGAAGCAATTTGTGAACCTTAAAGTACACTGCAAATGTTAGCTATCCTTACTATTGTTATTACCCTGATCTCTCCTGCTTCTCTTCACATATCATTGTTCCTTTTCAGTCCCCTTTGATGTTCTCCATCCATCATCTGGACCCTGAGCACAGTTTTTTCCCCCAAGTCTCTGTCCTGAACCCTCTTCTGTCTATGATTTTATACCTTGGTGATCTCATGAGCTCTCATGGGTTCAATTGTTTTCTCTCTGTGGAACACTCACAGGCCTATACTGCCAGCCCTCATGTCCCTCTGCCAATCTGGATCATGTCGGTATTCTTCCATCTCTACTTGCATGTCCCATTGTTCTATCATCTAGGTATGAAAAAGAGTTGATTCTTTTACCTTCAACTTGTTCTTTTGCACACCGCCTTGTTTCTCTTGAAGGCACTGCCATCCTCTTATTCACAAATGGAGAAATTGCTATTCCTAATGTTTTTCTAATGTTTTTCTCCTCTCTTCTGTAGCTAAACTTCTTGATATACTGTGTCTCTTCCTTCCCTCTCACTCTCTTCCCAAGTTCCTACAGTCTGACTTCTGCCTTTATTCAACTTAAACTGCTCTCTCCAAAGTTACCCATGACCTCCTAATTGCTAAATCTAATGACCATTTTCTCAATCCTCATATTACTTGACCTTTCTGAAACCTGTGACACTTTTGATCACCCCCTTTTCCTTGATACTCTCTTCTTTCTTCTTTTTTCTTACTTTTTTCTTACTTTCTCCTGGCTCTCCTCCTACATATCTGACCATTCCTTCTCAGTCTCCTTTCCTGAGTCTTTATCGAAGACATGCCTACTAACCGTGAGTGTTCCACAATACTTTTCTGGGCCCTCTTCTCTTCTCTCTCAATGAGTTAGTTATCTCATTAACTCCCAAAGATTCAATTATTATCTTTAATGCTGATGATCCTGAAATCTATTTATCCAGCCTTAGCTGCTCTTCTGACATCCAGTCTCCCATCTCCAACTACCTATTTGACATCTCAAGTTGGATGACCTAGAGACATCTTAAACTCAACATATCCAAAATTGAACTCCTTATCTTTCCACCAAAACCCTTCCCCTTTCAAACTTCCCCATTACAGTTGAGGGCACCCACATCTTCCCAGGTGCCTAGGCTTGAAATCTTAATATCATCCTTGCCTCTCATCCTCCACATCTGATATTTTGCCAAGACCTGCTGATTTTACCTGTGTAACACCACTCTTAATACACCCCTTCTTTTTCACTGACCCCACTACCAACCTGGTGCAGGCGCTTATCATCTCATACCTGGACTAATGCAGTAGCTGTTGGTTGATCTCTCTGCCTTAGGTCTCCCAACCCCTGTCCGTCCCCAAAGTGATCTTCCAAAAGCATCGGTCTGACCCTTTCTTAATAAACTCCACTGGTTCCCTATCACCTCTAGGATCAGATATAAAATCCTCCATTTGACTTTCAAAGCTCTTTGTAACCTGTACTCCCCCACCTTTCCAGTCTTCCTACAGCTTACACCACCCTCTCGACCCCTCACCACATACTCTGCAAACCAGTGGCACTAGCCTTCTTGCTCTTTCTCTCATAAGACACTCCATCTCCCAACTCTGCTTCTACAGATGAATTAAGGTACTTTGTGGGACAAAATTGTGGGGCTGAATGTTACTTAAGTGAGGAAAGGGTGAATGGCTGACAAAGTGAAATGGACAATGCATCTTTATCAAATTCATTGGTGAGCAGTGAAGGAATAGCTCAGACTTTCTCAGAAAGAAGGGTGGGGTGGGAGAGTGGGAAAGGTGACAGAAGTGAGGGATTAAAACTAGGATCATGAAAGAGGAATATCATTCTTTTCACCAGGTAGAGTGCTATGTTTCCCCTGCCATGTGACTGCTAGTGTCTCTAAGGACACAGCTTTGGTTTAACAAAACTGAGCATTAATTATTAATCAGATGACTGGACACTCACAGAAGGACCCATGGCATAAAATGTAGCTGGTAAAGAAAAAAATAGAAATAAAAGCAGACCTTGGTCCTGGGGGAGGAAGAAGCTACAGGTGAATTTCTCTATGAAGAATATAACAAAATGGCAAACCCAAAATGTGTATGATGGGTAGACTTATTGGAGACAATTACGAGATTCAAATGTATCTTTAGCTAAGGTCATTCTAAGGCATGTAGGCTATGATGGAGATAATCAGGAGCAACAAGCTATGGAATGAAGTTGGGATTTTGATTTGACAGAAGGCTGATTCACAAGGCACCGAACCAGCCTAGAGAGAAGCTGAGATATCTACTCCATGGGAGAAAAAAGACCAACAGGACAAGGGTCCCAGTGGTTGGAACTCTAAAACAAAAGTTTCTGTCTTCTTTCCCTTTTTATTATATCCATAGTCATTCTGTTATTCACTGAGGCTAACAAATAGCATTCTGTTCTTCACCAGGCATACGGCTTGTTGTTTCTGAAATATCACATGGCCAACATACTTCTAACTCTGGCATTGTTATTAATATACTCTCGGGTCTTCTTCAGTGATGAAGAACTTCCAAGTATTATCCTTGACCATGGCCAAAAATTCTATGGAGGAAGTCAGGAGGTATGGGAAATTCTTGAGAATGAAGTTTTGGAAACTCAAACCCAAACAAGTCTGGGGCAGCCAGGTGACACAGGGGATAGAACACTGGTGCTGGAGTCAGGAAGACCTGAGTTCAAATCTGCCCTCAAAAATTTGACATTTACTAGTTGTGTGATCCTGGGCAAGCCACTTAACCCCAATTGCCTTGCCAAAAAGAAAAATGGTGAAAAAGAGGGAAAGTTGTCTACAGAGACTAAGTTGGAAGTGCTAGGGTGTCATTAACAAATACAGGTAAAAGAGAAATGAATTAGAGTAGGGGAGAGATTATGAATAGGAAGGAATGACAGAATCATGTGACAGATTAAACTCAAGCTGATAAATTCTAGGGACAACAAGATCTGTTGGTGATAAGATGATCCAAAAAAAAAAGTATAGCCTCACTGCTCGGAGATCACTTTTATTTTGCTTTTGTTTTCT